GATTTTCGTAGTGGGCAGTCGTCTTTTAGGCCGTTCTTGAAAGATACGACTGCCACCTCTTGATTACACTCTGGTATTCGGTTGAACACCTCATAGTACCTTTTTGCATAGGCCTTGAGGCCTTCATCCTTGCTGATCTTCAGAGCCATCAATGCATCCACTCTCAATGGCTGCAGCTTGTTTGTCACGAACCTGGCCACAAACATCTCGGCCAGGCCTTCCCAGGTCTTCACACGTCCCTTCGGTAGTTTGTGAAACCAATCTGATGCAATCTCCCCGAACAATGAGGGGAACACTTTGCAGAGCAACGACTCGTTCCTACTATATAATGCCATTGAGTTTAAGTATAATCCAATGTGGAAGTTGGGGTCTGACTTACCATCATATATTTGGAATCTCGGCATACTGAATCTCTTCGGTGCCTCAAATTTGTCCAACTCCACTGAGAACGGTGTTCTTGGTTTATTAGGGGAGTTTACCTCAGCATCGGCGTTCTGCTGCTTCCTTTTGAGATAATCTCTCAAGTTTTCTTTGCTCTGCCCAGGAGCTCGGCTATCTCCTGACTTCAGTTTTTTTGGCATGCTACTCTCAACTTCATGGTGGGTCCTTTTCGATCTTTCTCCGTGAGTTGTGTCGAAGTAGAGTGCTTGCCCCTAAACATGCCGATGTTCTTTGGGGTCTGCCTCCTTGGCGCGATGCGTCCTCCGTGACTCTTCTCTCCTCGACCCTCCTCGTTCGACCACCCTTGAAGGCCGGTGAGAGTGTTTTTCGCTCCTAGTGTGCTGGGGAATTTCTGGGATTGGTTTCTGCCCTCCCTTCTGTGTATTGGCCGCTGGAATCAGCGTGCCCTGCAGTGGGAACGGTGGCTGCATGACATTGTTTTGCATCATAAAATTGGCGACCGATTGTAGGTCTGCCAATTTGTTCGCCATCTCTTTTATCTCTTCGTCCCTCCGCAGGCATCTATCCTTCCATACCTGGAGGTCATCCTCATTGTAGTACCCACTTCGATCTGGCTTCTTTGGTACGTCGCCATCCTGGCCGATGTCTTTCTTGCTGTGATTCTAGTCATGAGTTTTTGTGTTGCGTTTGTCTCCTTCGATGTCAAGGTCAATAGGTCTGCCACTCCCAGCAGGAGTCTCATCCCCAATCTTTTCTTTCTGTCCGTCACTGGCCATCTATTCTCCTTTCTTTCCCACAAACGGCGCCAAATTGTGTGAGTGATTTTCCGATCACACTGACCAACTCAGTATTCAGCTGGAGAGTACTAGCAGAATAGATGACACATGTCTGACCTGCAACAGAAAGAGAAGATTTCGGCAATGGTTCGTCCACCCGGGGGCACTCCGACGATCAAGTCAGTATATCTCTCAAAGATAATCAATAGTGCTAAACTCACTGTTCAGAACATAAATTGCATACCTTAGACCCATGGGGGGTGCCTCTCTTTTATAGTTAACTCAATCCTTGTCTTACTAGAAGCCTAACTTCAATGGACTCTTGCTCAATGCTTATCCTGGACTTTCCAAGAGATAGAGATAAACTCCCTAAGAGTGTTATCCTTATCCATGCTAAAGTCCTTCATCATTCTAGGACTCTTGTCCCTTATCCACTTATCTCGGATTCCGATGTCTTCGGAGATAACCTCAGCCTTGTCGAGATCACCTCAGCGTCATGACCTAAACACGTGGCACCTCGACTGACACGTCGGCGTCACCTTGGCCACATGTTGGGACTCAGAAAATATATCCCCACACTTTATATATATATATATATATATATATATTTATGTATTATTTATTATATAAATAATATATTTATTATATAATTTAAATAAAGATAAACAAGCCAAGCTTGTTTATTAAACGAGCCTAATATTCGAGCTCGAGCTTGACTCGTTTACTAAACGAATCGAACCGAGCTAAGTCGAGCCCTTAACAAGCCAAGCCGAGCTTGTTCATGAATAGTTTAGTTCATTTACAGCCCTAGTTGTAATAATCCTACCTGTGTGAAGATCGTATCCCTTTTTTTGTAAGGATTTTTTCTCCTCTTCTATGGAGGCTAGAATTCTTCCTCCTATGAAAGTTTGTTATCTCTTTATGAGATCTTTTGCTACCGTTGTACAAGATTGATTCGATTTTTATCAGTTTTGAAATGAAGATTTTATTCCCGATCTAAAAAAAAAGTTCCAATTTTGTTATTTTGGTCCTCAAAGTTATCAATTTGAGTCAATTTGGTCTTATCTCTAATGTCTGTCTAAATTGTTAATGGGGCATAGATAAAAGGTAGTTTAAATCCTTAAAGTATGCATTCTAAGTAACTAATGAATAGTGCTCAACTACTTTGCCACAATGGAGCTTTGTATCCATATTTCGCAAGGTATATATTTGAACTTGATTATTGTTCACCTATTGTCTTTGTGTCAAACCAACTGGATGTATCTTAGCCACAATGCACTGAATGATATCTTTTGTTTGCCAACTCTCGTTCGTCTTCTCCGGCAAAATAGTTGAATTTTGAGGCAAACTTTGTTCAGCTGTAAAACTTCGTTTTAACATTGATTTTGACGCGATTTGTTTGTGTTGGATTCGTCTTGATGAGTACTTCACATTGGTGTACTCAAAATTGGATTTTGACAACTTCAAAATTTTTAGTTTTTGAAAATTTGATTTGTTTTGCAATTATCGACGAATGTCGGTTAATTCTTGGCTCTTTTGGTTGGTGGGTCTGGACTCTTCTAGTCGACACAAACCCTCCAGTTAACCAAGCACTTGGTGTATTTCCAAAAAATTGTTCTCATGAAGAAAAATGTAGACCCAATTTCTATAGAGAGAAAATGGGCACTTAAACTCGGTTGACAACTCTTTGTCTTGCCAAAACACCTTGGTCTGCAACTCATTCAATCCTCTTTGGTGAAACACTTGGTCGACAAGTCGGCAACGTCGTTGGCTCGCTAAAGGTTTCTTATAACTTTTTCTGAGAAAGCTCTTAGTCTAATGCAAACCCAACTAGTTCAATATAAAGCCGAGGAACTTGAGTGGTGTTGCTGAAGAATGTTATTGTGTTGGATGTGTTCGCCTAGCAGAATTATGTTTGGCTCTTGTCCTCGACTAAAGTATGGTTGGCGGAGGAGTGTGCTTGGTGGAGGAATATGCTCGGCAAAAGATCTTGGCGAGGCTTACGGTGGGTTGTTGAATTTGTACTCGACGACAGATAATCGGGCCGGTTCACTTCTCGGCATGAAATGGCTCTGTAACTCAGCAAGCTTGCTATGGTTCAATGATTTTTTCAAACGGGTGTTGTGGTTACCAAGAACGGAAGTGTTGCGGTCTATTAGGCAATTCAAGTCATTGTATTCTGATTATTGAAACAGCTTGAGTTTCTGTCGCTGAGCTTGATAAAGGCCAATATTATTGCTAAAAAAACGATTCTTGTGGGATGACGACATTGCCGAGTGACATAGGTGATCTTGTTAAAGAACCTTGATGTTGTCAAGCAGATGGAATAAGATGGAATAAGATCTTTGGTTTTACGTATGCTCGGCGACACTTATTCTCGGCCTTTCATTGACGCCGAACAACTTTCACCCTTTGCCGAGAGATTGTTTCACAAGTCCGTTTGGTGAGTTCAAAAAACCATTAATGGTCCGAAGCAATGAGCGAGCTACTTGGTATGCCATTGAGCACACTTTGTTGCCGAATTGGTTGCATTGTGTTGCCCCGGCTTTGGTCGATAGCTTTTCTTATTCTTTGGCTTTTCAAGAGCACTTACAGAGAGAGAAAGTCAAGACCCAGTTGGAGATTTACAAACTTTTTTCTTGTTGTTTCAACTTTCCCAAAACAAAATTGAATAGACAAAATCTGTGAGCATAAATATATAGACGTGCATATATATATATATATATATCAAAGTTGAACTTGAATAAAAAAACATAATCAAAAAGGGAGAAGACAAAGACCCAGTTGTGGGTCTGTTTTTCCTAGAAAGAGATTGGTTAAAATTTGATTTTGTATAAAGTGAGATCACTAACCTTGGTGTTCAGATCATATTTACTTACAGTACACTGCTCCGAGCACCTTAGGGGTGGTGTTTTCTCTTCACTTCATTGAATTTTTTAGCTTTTTCCCACAGACGACGCCAATTGTGAGACCTAAAAAATTCTCTCACATGAATTGTTAAAGAGATCCAACGAAGAGATAACATTACAAAAAAATTGACTTTTTGCGGCGGTAAAATACCATCGCTAATACTCCTAATGCTGTCGCTAATACTTTTTGCGACGGCAAGAGGGGGTCGCAACTGCAGGGGTTGCAAAAGAGTTTTTGCAACGGCACAGTGCCGTCGCTAATGTTTTGCGACGATATTTTTGCCTTTTTGCGACAGCACTGTGCAGTCGCTAAAACGTTTGAAATTTCTTGACTTTTTTGCGACGACACTATTTTACCGTCGCTAAAAATGTTATTTGAGAAGGCAAAAAATACCGTCACTAGTAGTCTTTTTTTGCAACGGCAAAAACACTGTTTTGCGACGGTGTGGTGTCGTCGCAAAAAGTATTAAAAATATGAAAATTTCTATTTTTTGCGACAGTGCAATGCCGTCGCAAAAAGTATTAAAAAACAATAAAATTACTATTTTAAAGAATAAAATTTCTATTTTTTGTGACAATATAATACCGTCGCAAAAAGTAAAACCTGTAACAAAATTAATAAAAATATTAAAATTTTCTATTTTTTGCGACGGTGTAATGCCGTCGCAAAAAAGAAAAAAACATCCTACGATAAAAGGGAAAATTCAAGTACAAAAATTGTTACACTGATATACATGATAGACATCTGCTCCACCAATATAAAGATATGCAGGAAGCATTAAAACACATAATTTTTTCCCTATACCTAGCAATAGGGGTATGGCATGGTGAGATTTTTTTTTGGGCGATACGTATGGCATAATGAAACTTTTGCTAGAATTATCACAAAAATAGATCACTGCATTAGCCACTCAACTCTTGGAAGACTTAAATGCTAACACTCTCCTAGCCAAAAATTCATGCTTGGCCACACTTGCTTAGACATGCAATTACCTCTTCCAGGTAATCTTCTCTGCTAATCCAAAACTCCGGTGCATCCTGCGCGAGTAATCAAATTTCTCAATGTCTAACTTCATATCAATTCATGTTTTTGTTCCCTGTATCTAAAAAATTGCTTTTTGTTAAGAAAATTATTTTCCCTTTATTTATTTTTTCTTTTCTTGCTTTCCTTTTTTGCTCTTCATTTCAGTTTGCTTTTCAAAAATCTGAAAGCAACAAATGCACTGTCCAAATATTGTGGTCTACTTTTAGAAGCACAAGAGATACTTAACATGGGGGTGAAAAATGCAAGTTGACAAAACACATCATTAAAACCACTATGTCCTGGTTTGTATGAGAGAGAGAGAGAGAGGCAACACTGTACCTTCATAATTCCTGCAAGGACTGCTCCTCCAAGGTACACCATATGCTTTCTTCGCGGTGGATCCTCTATCCGCAACCGTAGTTTCTGTTAGAAGTAGAGGAAGATCAGAAGAATTGTTAGCTAACATGAAGTGAGAGCCTCATTGTTAAATTGGATGAACAAAATTAAAAAAAAAAAAACATGATATTTTTTCCTTTTTTCTTCTCCTTCCATACCATAACACATGTAACTTGGGTCTTACCTTCAACCCATCCTTGTTTCCCTTCAGAACAGCTTCAAGATAACGGTCTAAAATTTCTTTCTCCAAGTTGTAGGAAAATAAAAATGAAAAACTTCAAAAACTAAATTTAAAGCTATACCGAAGTATCAGAACTAAAGAGGGCATCTCCTTGGGTTCTTACAAAACTAGATTAGCGATTCACTATTAAAATCACAAAGGCAGATGACTACTTTAGTTGCAAGACTGTAAAACATGCGGACAGATGTTTTCCAAGAGAAGAACATAGAGCAATTAAGACCAAGTTTTCAAAAAGTCCAATAAGTTGAAAAATCACTGCAAATATAACTTGTGAGAGACAAATTAATCACCAAGAAGAAAGCAGTGCAATGATTTTATATAATGCAAAAGGGGATTTAAATTTCTTACCGACTAGGCAATCCAGGATACATAGTACTCCCCCCCACTTAAAACTATGTGTTGGTAGAGCTGTGAAAAATAAAACAAATTAAAAGTTAAATAAAACAAAATAAATGAAATAAACCCAAATGCATTACAAAGTGTATATGGCATGAGGTATGGATCAGTAATTTAAGATAATATGCACACCAACCTTTTTTAAAGTTGAGTCATTATTAAATAAAGAACGCCTATAAATTATCATTACCATCTAATCTCCTGTTAAATGAGGTCTTATTCTGACCAATTTATTGGCATTGAGTGCGCAAAGGGAGAAATTTTTTATCAATATTTTATCAACTTTAATACTCTTTTGTTTGTATCTCAACCTCAACTGAGAAAATAAATTAGACAACGCAAGTTCAATACAACTGAAATCACTTGCTGAAACACCTTCAATAACACCGATTTTTATATCGTCCACCTCTATTCACCTGAACATTACAAATAAGAATACATAAATTTATAATTCTAAACAGTTTTAAAGTACATTTGACTCCTTAGCGTAATCTTGCATTATTTTCCACTAATAGTAGCAGCCACTAAATATATGGCACCCTTCTGAATACTGCCAACATTTCCCAATAACGTATCTTTGTAGTCCGTCCAAACATCAACTGGGAAGAACTGGTTCACAACTTCTATCTCATAACGAACGTACTCTTTATCCTTTCCACCAACCAACTGGAATCTCATTTTCTTTAGCATCCGAATTGGTCAGGATCAACGATCCAGATCTCAGAATTACCCTTGCCAACTCCAATATATATCTTGTCAGGTGTGGGAACGGAATCTGACGGACTATTATCACTTATGACGAAAAACAATACGTGGTGGACCACAACTTCGTCTTTAGCATTTTGTTCCAATTGAACATTCCCAATTAATTTTATACTCTTAACCACGATCTTGTCTGATTGACAGTCACATCTTTTATTACTCAACTCAATACCATTCAGTAATCTTGCTACACCTTTATTATCAAATTCGATTGCAGAGGGCGGAATCCGTTCCCCGCTTCATCCATTCCTTAGGGCTGTCCGTCGCCATTGGGGCCTAATCCCATCCCAACCCAATGTCAACTTTTTTAGAATCGTAATGGGGATAGTAGAGCTGAACTGTCGCCTTAGGATCAATCTCAGCATACCTACTATTCGGCATTGTTATGCCTTGGCCAAGTCTTCTGGCCGACATGGGCAATATTTTCTCAGGGCCAAGGACACCGACCATCAATTAGTGACCATGCTTGCCAGCTCTGGTAAGCGAGTTGATGATGTCATGGTCATTGTCTGAGGTAATTGGGAATTCGACGAAGGCGAAGACCGCCTAGATCCAATTCCCAGACGGAGAGGTGAACCAGGTGGCCATATAGCACCTTGCACTTATTTTTCTTATATGTGTTCAGCTTTATTTTCGTGGTCTTATGATTTTACTTGTACAGGAAACGATTTGAAGAAAGTTTTGATTTCAACCGACGACTCCGTTCTTGCGGAAATCAAAGTCGCGCTCCAATACTTCGGCCGTCCAAGCCTTCAGAGACAAGGGAGGGCGGCCCACATTCTTCTTCGATACGAGCCGACGTATACGATGTTCTTGGTGGCGGACAACATTCCAGTTCCGAGGGGTGAAGAGTATCTTACAGCCCTTATCTTAACCAGCTTCAAAAACTTGAGACAAGTTGGTTTGGAGGCATCTGATTCGGAACAGGTGGAAGCAGCCAAAGAGGTCGCTGAGGAGTCAAGCTAGTCTGAGGCCGAGGTAGACGAGGCTTTAAAGTTGGCCTTTGAGGAAGCCGGACTCAATTTGTCTGACCCTTCATCCACCTTAGGCCAAGGGGACATCTCTTTCGAAGACATTTTTGGTGAAAGTGGTGGATAAGAGGTGATAGTGGTGGTGGTAGTGATGGTGAAAGAGATAAGTGGTGAAGTTGTGGTAGTTGTAGAAGAGATAGAATAGCGATGGTGGATGAGAGGGAATGGTGGTGGTAGTGGAGTGGTAGCGATGGTGGTAGTAATGATAGTTGTAGAGGTGGAGTGACAACAGTGGTAGTAGTGGAATGGCATTTGTAGTAGTGGTGAATGTGGTAGAGAAGATAGGTGGTGAAAGAGAGATGAGTGAGAGACAGATAGAGAAAAGAGATGAAAAGAGAGAGAGAGAGAAAGAGAGAGAGACAGACAGATAGACAGAGACAAAGTGAGGAGCGAGAGAGAGACAAAGTGGTCGCTAAAAGTGCATTTTCTTGTAGTGGATAACTCGGTAAATAGAGAAGAGATGAAGGAGAGAATGAGCAAGGTGAACACAATGGGGGAGAGAGACAAACAGACAGACAGACAGACATATAGAGAGAAAGAGAGAAATAGTGGATCGATATTTACACAGTAATGGTAATAGTGGTAGTAGTGGTAGTGGAGTGGTGACGATGGTAGTAGTAATGGGTGAGAGAGATAGAGAGAAGAGAGATGAGCGAAAGAGACAAAGAGAGAAAATAGATGAGAGAAGAGATAGATGAATGAGAGACACAGAGAGAGAGAGAGAGAGAGAGAGAGAGAGACAAATAGACAGACAAAGAGAGACGAGTGATGAATGAGAGAGAAAAAGAAAAAAGAGAGAAAAAGATGAAAAAATGGGTGAAAATATATAGACAAAGACAGAGAGAGACAGAGAGAGAGAGAAAAAAAAAGAGCGAAAATAGATAAATGAGAGATAGACAGAAAGAGATGAGCGAGAGAGCGAGAGAGAAAAAAATAAGAGAGAGAGAGAAGAGAAACGAGAGAGAAGATATATGAAAGAGATAGAGAGAAGAGAGATGGACGAGAGACATAGAGAAAAAGAGAAAGACAGACAGATAGAGAAGAGTGATGAGTCAGAGTGAGAAAGAGAAGAGAGACAGAGACACAGAGAGAAAGAGAGAGACGGACAAAAAGAGAAGAGTGATGAGAGAGACAGAGAAGAGAGACAGAGACACATAGAGAAAGGGAGAGACAGACAGACAGAGAAGAGTGATGAGTAAGAGAGAGACAGAGACAGAGAAATAGGAATATGAAAAAATGGGTGAAAAGAGAAATGTTCGAAAGAGTAAAACGACGTCATTTATAGTGGATCGATAAATCGAGAAGGAGCTCGATAAATAGAGAAGATGAGAGTAAGAGAGTGAGTAAGGCGAACATAGTGAGGGAGAGATAGACAAATAGACAAGTAAACAGAGAGAGAGAAAGAGAAGAGTAATGAGTAAGAGAGAGACAGCGAAAGAGAGAGATAGACAGAAAAAGAGATAGAGAGAGAAAGAGATAGAGATAAATGGAGGGAGAGATAGAAAAAGAGAGAGAAACAAGAGATGAGCGGGAGATAGACAAAAAAAGAGAGAAATAGAGCGAAAAGAGATGAGCGAGAGAGAGATACAAAAAAAGAGAGAGACAGAAAGAGAAAAGAAATGGGCGAGAGAGATAGAAAGATAAGAGAGAGAGAGAGAGAGAGAAAAGAAATGAGAGAGATAGAGAGAAGAGAGATGAGCAAGAGAGATAGAGAGAAAACAGATGAGAGAGATAGAGAGAAAAGAGATAGGCGAGAGACACAGAGAGAAAATGAGAGAGAGAAACAAACAGACAGAGAAAGAAGAGTGATGAGTGAAAGAGATAAAGAGAAGAGAGAGAGATAGAGACAGAGAGACAGGAAGATGAAAAAATGAATGAAAAGAGAAATGCTATATCAAAAGAGTAAGACGACATTGTTTTTTTTTATTTTTTTTGCGACAAAAAAATACCGTTGAATTTATTCAAACCATTTTGTGACTGTATATATATGAAGCTGTCTCAAAACCACAATCACTATGCTAGGTTAGAGTTTTTCAAAAACTCTTTTGAGAAAATTATACTTTCTTGTTTCCGTGTTATATTGTTTTTACTGAATTTTTTTAATATTTTAAGTATTTTTTGTAATTTTTAGACACACCTAACATAAATACACCTAAAAATTAAAAAAAAAATTTAAAAAAATCTTTTAAAAATTCACTAAATACCAAAAATACAATAATTCAATACATTTTTTTTATATATTTTTTTATGTATTTATTAATTTTTTTATAAAAAAATTCATAATTTTTTTTTTAGATACATTTAAGTAAGGTGCATCTAAAAAAAATATTTAAAATTTTAAAAATATTCACTAAAAAAAAAAACACAAAAGTCATTTTTTGCGAAGGCAGAAAATGCCGTCCCAAAAAATGAGAGTATTTGCGACGGATTGCGACGGCAAATTGTGCCGTCGCAAATACTCTGCTTTTTTGAGACGACATTTTCTGCGTCGCAAAAAGTGGCTTTTTGAGACGGCAAGTGTGCCGTCGCAAATAGTTCCGTCTCATAAACCCACTTTTCTTGTAGTGTAAGCTTGGCCCCTTAGATTTGCAAAGATAAACATGGTTGGCGCCATCTAACCGAGGTTGTCGACCGGGGACACTCCGATGATAAAGTTAGAGTTCTTTAAGTAAAGAGAATAGATCAATAATTCAAAGGTCTTAATGTGCTGTGTTGCATAAAGATGTGGCATACCTTTATTCCATAGGATGCCTTCCTTTTATAGATAGGGAGCATGATATTTGTTTGATGGGCTTCTTTGTTTAGGTTGGATCCATTGTTAGGACTTGTTTGGGTCACCCCTAATAAGCTGGTATTTTTTAGACTCCCACAACTTTAATAAAGAAAACAGTTATGGAGCAATGTGTTTAAATAATGTGTGAAGTGTTGTGAAATATGCATAATGTTTAGTTTTCAGAAATTTTACTCTAATAAGTAATGAATTTTATATCATTTGGTGGTTCAAATATAAACGAGAGAAAGGAATATTTAGGTTGAATGAATGCCAGAGCAACAATTCTTTATCACTATAACAAGGGAAATGTTATGATGTATATTTGCATATTATAAAAAGAGTAAATTTTACTTTACTCTTTATGGTTTGGGTTATGTGTAGATTATCTTTCTAATGTTTGAAAATGATCACATAACTTCTTGTGATTTGTAAACCGAAATGCACCATTAAGACCGTTAATAATTTAATAAAAAAGACTAAAGTACCCTTATATTTACGTCATTTATTTGGAAGGAAAATTGCACTTTAACCCCTTATATTTTATGTCATGTGCGATTTACCCCCTTAATATTTGAAAATGAACATATAACTCCCTTATATTTGTCACGTGTTTCACACTTACTGTTAAGTTAGACGGAATGTTTAATTGTATTAAACGATGTACTTTAGTGCACAAACCACACGGCGGTTATGTGGTCATTTCTAAACGTCAAGGTGTAAACAATAAATGGTCCAAACTACAAGAGGGTAAAGTGAAATTTGCCCTTATAAAAAAATGTACAATTTTTATGATATAAGTTATAAATTTTTGTGATAAAAATTATAATTTTTATAATAAAAATTATGAATGGTGAAGCTATAGTGCGCACCTCTGAAGTTATGAATAAAAGTTATGTTTTTTATGATAAAAGTTGTACTTTTATATTTTTTTGTGATAAGAAAAAGTTATACTTCTTGTAATAAAATCTATACATTTTGTGATCAAAATTATAATTTTTATATAAAATGCATATCATATGTACCTTTTGGGTGCAGATGGTGCTTGGAAAGTTGAGTTTATGCTAAAATAGTCAATAAAGACAAAATAAATTAAAATCGATATAACAAAATAT